TACAAATCAAATTGAGAACAGGTTTTTTTTTTTTTTTAAAGTAAAAATAAGAGCAAAATTCTCCATGATTTGCCTGTTGTTTCTCTGAACTTAAATTTTCTGCTTTTCCTATGCGTTCAGAATCGAATGCATGTATCAGCTTCACCCTGCTGGGTGCATCTAAGAAGAAAATGTTTATTGTCCATTTAAGCCAATATGACTCTTCCCCAATGCTTTTACTAAGTACTGGGTCAAATCCCTTTACGTACACAGCATTTTATATTGAGAATGAAAGAGTACATTTTTAATGAATTTGCCAAAGCTAAACTAAAACAAATTCCCCAAACCAAAAGGCAACCTCAAACCATTTGTCAGCTTATGAAAGCTCTGTAATTCCATTCATTCAATTTAAAGTCATATCTCTAATGCTTTCTGGGCCAAATCCTGAGTCACCTGCTAGGGCTTTATGCAGCCAAAATCCAGTGATTTAGAGGGAAATTACCTAAGTAAATCTGAGCAAGGATCTAAGGATATAACTAATAAACAGCGAAGAAGATGCTGTTGGCTTTTTAAATAAATACAATTTCCCCTTCTAAAGCTGAAAAGGAAACTTTAGATCCAACCCTCCTCATTTTTGTTCTCTTGTGGGACTCTGTCAGGGAATTGAACGTGTTTACTTGATCTAATAACCTATATTGACTGTGCACTCCTAGCACCCTAGAACCTTAGTCTGGTTCTGAAAAGTAACTTAAGTACAGTGAAGTTTGTTTGATATTCATATTACAAATAGTGATTATTTGAAAATGCCTTTTGGAGAAATGGAACTCACCTGACACATATGACTGAAACTGCACCTTGCAAAAAGGTTTTTAACTATTCCAGGGAAGGAATCCTAGTTACTCTAGCAATTTTTCTGACTCAGACCAGGATCTGGGAGGGGGGAAAGGGAAGAGTTTTCCCATTGGTCATAAAATTCACAGAGCATTTCTTCTGAAGACAATAAAGCTAGTAGAAGGCCTCTTTATTTGCTGTGAAAATCATCACCCTTTCCGGCAATATAACTCCTGAAGAAAAGAAGAAGGAAGAGACAGGGCTGCATATCAAAGCAAAGAGAAGTGTTAAAAGGGTCTGTTGCCTCAATATGACAGATAGGCCTCAAAACCCAAGACAATGTAGCCAAGAGAAGAAAAAAAAAATACTCTCAGACCTCACAACTAGTTTACAAAGCAAAATAAATTAGCATTAGAACTGGTCCTGGCCCCTTTTTCATTGCCTCCTCTCAGCTGTTTAAAGCTTCTGTCCTATGTGAGCTAACATCCTTCATTAAAAAAATCTAGCATCTACCTATGTCTCTTAAGAGAGCTAAGCTAGATACTGCTGAACAGCTTAATTATATGGGGTTATATTCTGGTCTCAGTTAATATGTGCAACTTTGTGTCAGAGGGGGATAATGTGTGTACTTAATTACATGTGAGCTCCTGAAAGTAGTAGAATAGATAACACATTGTGGCACAAAAATATGTTCAAGAAACACAATTCATATATGGATTTCTATGTAACCCCCACTATTTGGGGATGATTGAATTAGAAGTATTAGTTTGGTCCATTGCAAAGATGGGGGCATTTTCAAAATTCAAATCCAAATATGGGTTTGATTTTGCTTGCCTTAAATCCATGCTTTTGCTTTAAGGCCATCTCTAAATATGCCTGAGGTTACTTTATTGAGTAGTGCTAGAAAAGGCCAAACTCACCTTTTGAGTAACTTCATAGTTATGAAGCCAAAACAATTTTGAATGATTAAAGATAAAGAATACTTTTCTCCATTTTGTATACGACCTTCTATAATAGTTAACCAGGGTCAGTATTTTTTCATTTCATTACAATGGCCAGATCTTCATATATCTGCAACAGCAACTTTACTTCCATAAGAAGTCCCATTGAGTTGAATGGGAATACTCATATGATATAAGTAAAAGGCTTGTGGATAAATGTTTTCAAGACCTTATCCCACTTTTG